TGACAGGGTTTTACCTGTACCTTAAATAAAACACAAGGGAGACAAGAATGAGATTTCTAGAACGTATCTTTGCAAAGAGGGACAGCGTTCGACCGAAGTCAGAACAAAGTCCAACTTGTTTCAGCGTGCGTTCCTTTTTTATTCAGGCAAGTAGGAATGGCAAACATTCAGGCAAGTAGGGATGGTAAACAAGAAACGCAAGATCTGGTGGTTTTCAGGTAACATAGACGTGGCAGTTTCTATCAAAACAGGAACTGTGAGTTTCCAACAAGTCAGTAGAGAAAGATTTCACAGCATTATAGAACAGTTTAAATGAGTATAAGTTTAAACGATCAATAGATAGAGTAAAATACTCTAACAGTTTCTTTTTCAGAAACAGATCCTGTCTAACTCTGAATGCTAGGAAACGCCTTGTATCTGTGACTTTCTTTCCCTCCATTGATTACGGTGACATTATTTACATGAACGCTCCTACAAGAACCCTGCAGATGTTGGATGCTGTCTATCATGGTGCATTAAGATATATAACTGGCTGTGATTACTGTACCCACCACTGCACCCAGTATTCACTGATTAACTGGACATCATTAACTTCACGCAGACTCTCTCACTGGTATTTTCATCTTTAAATCACTTCTTGGTCTGTTGCCTTCATACATCTCCTCCTACATGTCTCTGCGTGAGTGCAGCTACGGCGTGCGCTCTCAGGACATTATTACCTGCAGTGTTCCCTCAATGAGGACTGAACTAGGCAAAAGGGCCTTCTCCTACACTGCTCCTGTTTCCTGGAATACCTTACAAAAACAATTGAAGCTCTCGACCTTGACCTCTCTAAGTGGCTTTAAGAACCTGTTGGACTCCTGGCAGGGACCAATGCTGACATGTTCCTGTTTTTAGTTTTCTACATTCACCTTAGAATCTAACTGTTTTTTGTTACCTTTTTCTTTTAGCCATCCTATTTGTAAAAAAAACAAACTGCAGTATGACTTTTTATAATTGTTTATTGTTGTTGCTGTTGTCCATTGTTGTCATCTTTCTTTGTTGAAATCAGGTCTCTCTTGTAAATGAGTCCTCGAGGCTCAGTGGGATTACCTGTCTAAATAAAGGTTGAATGAATGATGTAAAACAAATTGCCAAATCTTTCATGTTTGCTCGCTGTGGCGACCCCTTAAGAAGGCGCAGCTGAAAGAAATTTATTAGTTTTAAACTAATAAATAAAATGCATTTTCTCATATGATATGATTTAAGAAAGACAATTTACAGAAAGAACAGAAAGACAAGTGAATCCTAGGAGAAAAATACAGTTTTTATCTCTTTACATTAAACATTGGTAATACTTCTCCAGGAAAAGGTTTTAAAAAATCTATTACACAAAAAAGTGCTGTCGAGTAAAATATTAGAATTTAGAATTAAAAAACAAATATTGTTGAGTCATAGGGTTCAGGGTTTATTTGGCTGAAATGACTGAGCACATCACAGATGATGACAGCAACAATAGATACATGAAGCACACAAGACACATGCATCGACTAGCTGGAGCTTCAGAAACGGTACCGTACAGGGAGCTACGAGGGAGCTAGGAGACTTAAGTTCATTTACCAAAAATGTCTCAACTAAAGATTATTATAAGTTATTGTAATTATAAAAAGTGCACTCCTGACACACTTGGGAGTGAACCGGGACTTGTAATATTTTGTTTTTATTTACAATGTTTTATTGTGTTTGCTGGCACTGAATCTCACAGATGAATACTTCTTAACCGTCTTTTTTTTAAATTTTTTATCAGTTTTGTCAGTTTCTCCTATAAACATTATAGTCACCATATTTTTGCTAAACTGTGCTAAATCCAAAAAAAAGTTTTAAAACAAAACAACTGGACTTTATTTGTAACTGAAGACGTTTCGATTCTCATCCGAGGAGCTTTCTCAATTCAAAGAAACGAGTGTGGGATTTAAGTTATAAAGCAGAGATGTTATGTAAGCTTGCATAACGCAGATTGACACATGCAGATTGACCTTTCACTCCTCACAATAGAGGATCGTTAGGATCTTTATTAGTCCCACCCACAGAGGGGCCACTCTGGTCACATGGTTGGAATTCCAACCATCACATGGCTGTGGGTGGGACTAACACAGACCCTAACGATCCTCTATTGCGAGGAGTGAGAGGTCAATGTGCATGTGTTAATCTGCGTTATGCAAGCTTACATAACACCTCTGCTTTATAACTTAAATCCCACACTCCTTGTTCCCTTCAACTGAGAAAGCTCCTCAGGTGAGAAGCAAAACGTCTTCAGTTACAAATAAAGTCCAGTTGTTTTGTTAACCTTTTGTTTAATTTACCATGTCCTGGAGGACTGAGAATGTTCACCAGCAAAGTGTGCTAAATGTCTACCAAACTAAACAAAATCTCTATTTTATGGCTTTCAGTCTCCAAGAAATGTTCTTTTCCAGAAGAAGAGTCAAAGTTCCATTACTTACACAAATTAAGTGTTTTGCTTGATCAGGGTAGCAAAACATAAAAACATCAGCGATGCAGAGACTGAAGTCTGTATTTTATAGACTGCTTTTGGGTTTTGCTCTTTACTGATCCAACACTTAATTAGTCTTCAACTTTGTGAGCTGGTCTACAGAAAGTCCAGTGGTGCTCCACAGTGTTCTCATTTGGACGCTCACTCATGTGATGCACACGCGTGTTTCGAATAGTGAAGCCTTGTTTCATTATGTAGTCCATGAGGTGAACCCGCAGGGACACCTCTTGATGATAGTCACATGGTCCAAAGGTGAAAGACACCTGGCAGTCTCTGGTGTCCATCATGTGTTTGTTCCACTTGGTAAAATTGTTTGAAATACCTTCTAACAGGGCGTGAACCTTTGTCGTTATGGTTAGCTGGGTGATGATGACAGCAACCGGGTTGGAGTATTTTGACAGTTTCCGGGTGCTAGAGAGCTCCACAACCTGCTCAAAGATGTCGGGAGGGTACAGCGGCTTGGGATCATTAAGGCACTGGATCAAAGGTTCGATCTGATAGAAGTCAGCCTCCTTCCTCAGAAGGTCTGTCTCCATGAAGTCCACAGGAAGGGTGAGCTCAGATGTCCGCAGGAAGTTTAGGATGTACCGGAAAAGCGTCCCGTCACGGTCAATGAAATAATTCCCTTGGGAATCACGAGTTGTGGGGAAATCTCCCCTGAACATGGCACCAAGCATGGAGTCTGGATAACGCTGCAAGGTGGAAAGACTGGTGGTGTACAGGTGGCCTCCTACGTTCAAGGTAACAGGAGCATTCACCTAGAAGGAGGAAGAGGTTTAAAGTAAGCAAACAAGCAAGTAAACAAATAGCTAATATTTTTTAGCTACTGTGATCTAACGAGGAAAAAAAAGCTGTGCATCAAATACAGACTGACTTCTGTTGAATGAAGATGTCTAAAATCTGTCCAGGTGTTAAAACAACATTGATGATGAACGTAAGTATTGAAAAACAGCAGCAGCTGACGTGGAAGCAAAGCAAGCCGAGGCGGGTATGATGTGGGTGGAGGTGAAAGAAGAAATAAACAAGGCCTAGAATACAATTTTACACTCCATATACAAAAACTGTCTGGTTTTTCAAATAATTAGCTACTCAAACCATGGCTGCACAGTTCGGTCATCACTTGGTTGCAAACACTCAGAATTCAGTAAGACGGTAACAAAAAATTCTTGCAATTCTGAATAGTCAACTAATCTCCAAAAGTCACATCACAGTGAGATACTACTTTTACTGATTGGTGGAGTTCAGTTAATCCAGTGCTTCTCAATTATTTTCTGTTACTCCCCACTAGGAAGACGTAAACATTTCGCCCCCCCAACTCTCCGCTGCAACTGTAAATAGTATAATTTGTCTATAAAATTGTTATAAGTACACCTCTGCATAACATTGTGTCCTTACTGACATTAAAGGAAAAAATAATATAGATCAACTTACAACAAAGAATAACTTTATTAACATTGTTTTTTAGTCTTTAAAAGAAACAACTTAAAGTGCATCAATTTGCCTGAAAAAACAAACAAACTTAAAACCTTATTTTAACTAAACATTTTGATAATTTGAAACTGAGAAATAAAATTAAATATAAATCAATAAATAATAAAAAATTAAAATTGATCAGCAACATTTTTATTTCAGGAGTGTTATATAAAACACTTTGACCAAAAAAAAAAAAATGAATACGACAAGTTGTGCTGATTTTTTTTAAATCAAAATGAGGAAGTCAGGATCACTGAGCACACTCATCAATAAAATTAACACTTTTTGTCAACGTGAGAGGAAAGAGGGGGCAGGTGTCGCTCTCACTTTGAGTTTACTCTTTGTTGCATGCGCGCTGAGTGACGTCAAGAGCGCATGGACATAAAACACATGCAGTGGAGGTGTTGGGAGTTTATTTATTTATCGTCTGAGCCGCAGAGGGGGAGCGACACGGTTCATGCATGGCTCCCAAAATGACAAGGCAGTCATATTAGTTCATAACTTTATTATTTGTAAACCTGAGAGCTACGAGCAAACAGCTGCCGGAAAGCACGCAACAAAATGAAAATGGTGAAAAAAAATTTTTCAATTAAAATAAAGCATGTTCCCCAGGGTCACATGTGCCCCCACTGGCATTGCCCCGGGGCCCCCCAGGGGTGGCGCGTCCCACTATTTGAGAAGGACTGAGTTAAGCCTCCAGTATACTGCCGCGTACGTACGCATGAACGGACGTATGCATGTACTGTACGCAGAGGGTTCAGACTTCAGACTCCAGCGTACACCCTGAGCAGCTGCAGAGCAGCTTCACAGACGAGGGGCGTTTACCTTCGGGACAAATTGAGGTCGCCGATTGGTCATTTGCTGACACGCCTACTGGATTGATTGACAGGTTGGAAAAAAGAAAAAAGCGAGCGTTGGCAGCCTCAGTCACAGCAGTGTTCTGTGTTTATATGTTGTTAATAAAAAGATCTAAAAAAAAAAAAAAAAAAAAACAGGGAGCGCTGGCTCTACAGCCCACACATCAGACCAGCCCACCAGGAAATCTCCAGACCCTCCCGCAGCCACGCTGGACCTGAGTTTAATTCGCTCGTGACAAATTCCTTCATTTCTCACCATTTCAGTGATGGCATCAACGGAGGAGGAAGAGTTGACTCTTGGTTAAAAAACAAAAGAAAAGGCCAGATCAGAGATGAAGAAGGGGAATTTAATACATTGGTGTCGCAAACAAAACAGTCCGTCGCTGGGAAGGTTATTGTGCGACACCGCGTATGCGGTCGTAAAAATTGGAGCTTTGCAAGGACATGCCCTGGGGGGTACACTCGTACCTCTGCGTATGGACGTGCGTACCTCTGCGTATGGACGTGCGTACCTCTGCGTATGGACGTGCGTACCTCTGCGTATGGACGTGCGTACCTCTGCGTATGGACGTACGCGGCAGTATACTGGGGGCTTAAATCTTATCTCTCTTTGTCTGAATTATTGCTGCAGCCAAAAGCCAGATTGTATAAGGTGTTACTGAGTTAAACAGTTTCAAAACCTTTTTTTTTTAAGCAAAACAAAAGCTAAACTAGCAACAAAGTTTAAATAAAGAAGTTTTTATTTATCATAAACTGTGGACTTTGCTAACATTGTACCTTGATGTCTTAATATCTCTTACCCTATGGCCCCAGTCTCCATTATCCATTTGTAGAGGAATGCTCACTTGGTCAGAACCAAAACAGAGGGAACGGATAACAATGGGTCCGCTTTAATTTTACCTGTAGAAAAAAAAGTCACAGTAACATGAGTTGTAACAAAAGTAGGGCTGATGATTTCATACATGATATAAAATGATATAGATCATTTTCACACCTCATGGTCCAGTAGAGTCTGTTCGATTGGGACCAAACTTCATAACATTTATTTACATTTTCAGCTGGTGCGTTTCACATTCACACTGCACTGAGTCAATCGAGCCAACCTGTTCCCCCCTTCACCTGTGGTGGTGTTGCACCAAGAACTACTGAAGGAAATGACACAAAAACCTCTGAAGAAGAAACTTCTTCTTCTTCTGGAAATAAAAACAAAAACGGAGTGGCGACAAATTTTAGCGGTTTTAGGATTTCTGTTTTGTCATTACAACCGTTACTAGTGGAAACGCCTTGGAACCATGCCGAGTCGAACCGTGCTGTACCGTTACTAATGGGAAAAGGGGCAATAGTGATAATTATACTTGAAAATCTGTGTTTTTCTCCCAGTCTGCGCCATCACGCGGCCCCTCCTCCTCTCCCTCACTGAATAAAAACACAGCCCCTCCCCCGCCTCCTGCGTGTAAAACTGTGTGCTGCTGCAGCTACGACTGAACAAGCCAGATGCATATGCAGATATCAATCGTCACAGTGGGTCTTTGTTGACTCTAGGGGTGCAGAAAAAAAAAAAAATCGATTCATTAAAGAATCTCCATTCCTAGTTCTAAATTTTAAATTGATTCTAAAAGCCCCAAAATCCATTTTAAAATGCGTTTAAGTTTTTTTTTCTGCTCCTACTCCCGAGCGTACTGCATATCGCATTACGTGTCCACCCGTCACCGTAGAATTTGTCCTTGTAGGCCACCATACAGCAAGCTAGTTAGCCAGCTCCCTTTATCTGAATGGAGCCTGCTAGCATGGAGCTGGAGGACAGCAGGATTCAATCGGCTCCTTCGTTGTTAAAAGTCATTTTGGATCCTACAATGTTCTAGGGAAGACAGAGCTTGACAACAGCATGGTTGTTTGCAAGAAGTGTAAAATAAAAATGCGGTGCAGTATTTTGGAAATACGACAAAATGCGCGGAAGGAAGATGAAAAGCGAAGCAGCAGACCAGCTGCAACAAACTTCCATCTGATTCCCCAAGCAGGGCTCAAAGACTTCCCTCTCCATCTCCTGCTATCTCACAAAGGATTTACGCGCAAACAGCTCAGTCGAAGGCAAGGGGTTTGGGTTTATTTTTTATAAGTTGGACCCAACATACGTTACTTCTTCACGTAGATAAAGCTGCGCCACAACTCCACCATGAAACAGAATAAAGTGGGAGATGCTCTGATGCTTCCAGCTGCAGCTCAAAGGTACAGTGAGGAAAATAAGTATTTGAGCACCTGCTAATCAGTAACAGTTCTGGTCCTCAAAGACCTGTTAGTCCTCCTCTACAAAGTCCATCTCCACTCCACTGATTATTCTAAATTAGAAGCACCTGTTTGAGGTTGTTAGCTGCATAAAGACACCTGTCCACCCCACACAATCAGTAAGACTCCAACTACTAACATGGCTAAGACCAAAGAACTGTCCAAAGACACCAGAGACAAAATTGTAGACCTCCACTAGGCTGGAAAGGGCTATGGGACAATTGCCAAGCAGCTTGGTGAAAAAAGATCAACTGTTGGAGCAATTATTAGAAAATAGAAGAAGCTAAACATGACTGTCAGTCTCCCTCTGACTGGGGCTCCATGCAAGATCTCACCTCGTGGCGTATCAATGATCCTAAGAAAGGTGAGGAATCAGCCCAGAACTACACGGGAGGAACTGGTCAATGACCTGAAGAGAGCTGGCACCACTGTTTCCAAGGTTACTGTGGGTAATACACTAAGACGTCATAGTTTAAAATCATGCATGGCACGGAAGGGTCCCCTGCTTAAATCAGAACACGTCCAGGCCCGTCTGAAGTTTGCCCATGACCATTTGGATGATCCAGAGGAGTCATGGGAGAAAGTGATGTGGTCAGATGAGACCAAAATAGAACTTGTTGGTCTTAATTCCACTCGCCGTGTTTGGAGGACGAAGAATGACGAGTACCATCCCAAAAACACCATCCCTACTGTGAAGCATGGGGGTGGAAGCATCATGCTTTTTGTATGTTTTTCTGCACATGGGACAGGATGACTGCACTGTATTAAGGAGAGGATGACCGGGGCCATGTAGTGATATTTTGGGGAACAACCTCCTTCCCTCAAAGTATTGAAGATGGGTCATGGCTGGGTCTTCCAACATGACAATGAGCCGAAGCACACAGCCAGGAGAACCAAGGAGTGGCTCCGTAAGAAGCAGATCAAGGTTCTGGAGTGGCCTAGCCAGTCTCCAGACCTAAACCCTATAGAAAATCTTTGGAGGGAGCTCAAACTCTGTTTCTCAGCGACAGCCCAGAAACCTGGCTGAGCTAAAGAAGATCTGTGTGGAGGAATGGACCAAGATCTCTGCTGCAGTGAACCTGGTGAAACACTACAGGAAACATTTGACCTCTGTAACTGCAAACAAAGACTACTGTAACAAATATTAACATTGAT